TTGTGTCTGAATGTGATCCTGGCACAGTATATTTTTCCTGCAGCCATATGTATTTGCCAGGAAATGTGCATAATTTGTAATGGTGTGTGCGTGTGTGTGTGTACTTTGTTTTATTCTCTTTGACAAGACAAAATGTAATTACTTTTTGCTGATCAACTATTTTTTTACACAAGATACAGCTTTCTCTTAAGAGACAATGATTGATGATCTAATGATCTAAATAAGACAAATGATTTTCATTCGGTTACTGAAGATAAGGTCAGAGAGAGAGAGAGAGAGAGGCCCGTTTTGCTCTCTCCCCTGTCATGCTGCTGTCACCACATACACAATGACTGTAGAGAAACCACAAAAGGAGTACACAATCAATGCACCTGCCCTGCTGTCAGCTGCCCACTCCACTCTCAGTCTTCAAACACTTATTGTGCCCTAGACCCTTCTTGTGTAGACACTTCTACTGCTAATATGGTCAGCTCATTAGTACAATGCTTCTATTAATGGAACTGCAAAAAGATCTGAAACTGTCACTCTCACTATGACAAAGGTTAGGTTTTGTGAAGGGATAACCGACCCAGAAGGAGTATCACGATCATGAGTACACTGATGACATCAACCCATCAAAATATATAAATTCAAAGGTTAGTAGGCTAATTAGTGAATTCATATACTTCAAGATGAACACACTGCAGACACAGGTGTTCAGTTTCAGTTTTTATAAACTCCATAGATATTCACTGCTAATAGAATAAGACACCAATCCCAAACTTCTGCAAGAGGGGTATAAAGCTCCCCAGCGCTGGGCTGTGGAGGAGAACTGCATTCTCTAGAGCAATGAAGCACCACCAAACACCTTTGGGATGACTTGGAGTGCTGTTTGTGATCCTGACCTCACTACTGTTGTTGCTGAATGCAATTAAATTCTTCCAGACATGTTCCAACATCTATTGTAAATTCTCCACAGAAGAGTAGAAACTGTTACTTAAAAACATTGGATGAGTAAGTGCACTCGATTTATAGAGCCAAATTAGCTAGTTTTAGATTCATATAAAAATCCTTATAGAAAAAAAATCTGGCAAAAACTTTTAACACACACTTTCCTTAACTAACAACAGCTAAATACTGACTTACACAGCATTAGCTAACTAAGTCATTAGATTTACGTTAGCGAGACGATTTTCATTTTCATTTTCATTTTCTGTCGACTGCTACTGAAAGTTACTGAAGTGGTCGCCAAAACAACTGCTCTGATATTTGCAATGATGATACACACCACACTGAACCCAACTTTACATTTATTCTAATTTTCAACCCACCTTCACGTTGTGCTCCATTGTGCCCTTGATGAGGTAGACCCACAGCATCTTGCACCAGTGGTTTCCAACTGCAGCTTGCAGACTAGGCAAGTCAAGTCAAAGTTTATTTGTGCAGTGCTTTTTACAACAGGCACTGTCACAAAGCAGCTTTACAGAAAAAAATTTGGGTCCAAGCCCCCATGAGCAAGCCGATGGCAACAGTAGCAAGGAAAAACTCCCTAAGAGCAAGGGGAAGAAACCTTAAGAGGAACCAAGGCTCAAAAGGGAACCCATCCTCCTCTGAACAAGCCTCGGGCCAAAGCCTCAGCTGGTTGGAAGAATGTTAGCCAAATATAGCTGTCTAGCGAAAGTGTTGATAAGATAGCTCACATTAAGATCAGGTAAAACAGTTAAGGTTAGGGTTATGTTTAGCTACTTCCTCCATCATATTAGCTACTGTAAATTGTTCCTTCAAAATAAAAGCCACCTCAGCCATGTGAAATTCCTAGACATTCTCTCTGTGGCTTGATTTTTTACTAAATTACAGAATGCTAGCTAAGGATGCAGTCTAAGGTCTAGATGTTAATTTAGCTACAGAACCTAAACTTCTCCTTGCACCTTTGAAATTGCTCCTTTGTTGAGGATAGCATTTCCGAACAGTTCTCTTTATGTTAAGGGTAATCTCAATCAATCCACTATTTGTATACAATTTGTTAGATTAGATTAAAAAAAATAATAATAATAATGTTTATAAGAAATGCTAACACACAAAAACACTTGGATTCCAGTGCATTTTGTGTCCAGGAATGAAATTCATTTTTCCTGTACACACAACCAAAATCTAGGAAAATTCTGAAGACGTGGCAACCCTAGGTTAGAGGTAAGGTTAGCTACACTCCCAACCACATAAGCTAGTTAGCTAGCAAACATACACTGAAAATGATTTTAGGTTATCCAATTTTATGCAATTATGTAACTACAGCATACTTTGTCTGAAACTATTCAATTGCACTAGCTAATTTTTGCCTTTTTGATCAAAGCCTTTGCCCAGCCTGGGGCTTGACCTGCAGTACTGCAGCTACAAAGTTATTTGGTTAGTACCCAATTTTATCAGTCAGCCTTCACCATAGTTTATTACAATACAACAGTTACCATGGTCTAATTACATAAAACTGGAGCTGTCCCCCTTGTTTTATTACATACATAGAAACATTGGATAGTTTAATGATATATTGACCGCCAAACTGGAAATGTCCCTGGTTTTCATTTCAGAAATCTGCTCACCTTATCACCCCTTAGATATCAACCCCTTGCATGGGGAATTAAATCTCACAGCACAGAGTGAGATTCACTGCTCTCATTCTTAAGTGATGTGTTGGAGGAGACTGAAAAAAGTATGAGTAATAAGTTAACCCCCCACCCACAACAGTTAAAGTAGGAATGCAAGTGGAACCTAAAGGCCAATAATTATGTAATGAGTTCAATAATTATATTAAAGTAGCAGAAATGTGTGTCTGGATGGAATGAATTTAAGCGAGGGACACAGCACTGACCATGCACAGATAACCATGCTAGAAAAACCAGCACAGACCAATATAGCTGGTCACCAGCAAAGCAAGCATTATGTTGTGTTTTGGATGCTGGTGTTCCAGACAAGCATAAACCAGCATAGACTAGTTTAGAACTGCATGGAATTCATGCCAGTCTGTGCTGGCCTTTTCAGCAGGGCATATTAACAGCATCAAACAAGTTGAAAGGATTCCTGCATCTAGATTTAGGCCTAAAAAAAAGTCTTGAAGTATTCCTAGTATTCCTCACCATGCCCTTCGGTCTGCTCTTTGCAGCTATATCAGACAAATATTTCTGATTCATATTTAATGAGGTTCAGTGCCTATTGGCACACTCGGCTCCAAATCCGCCCATAAGTAATGACCAATAGACAGCTGATAGATCAGGGAAGAAGAGCCTACCATTCTACACCTGAGAAACAGGCTCTGAGAAGAGAATGAGCCTTAATTGACCAGTAGCCACGTCTTCTAACAACCAGAGGAGCAGGAATAAGGGTGTACAGCTGAATAAAAGAGCAGTAATAAGTGTGTTCACTGGGAGTCTAGCAAAGAGGTTTCAAAAGGAATAGGTTATAGGATGTCTACCCGTACTGAATGAGAACTGATTCTGATGCGTGTTGATGGTCTATAAGGTGGTTTAACTGAAGAGTAGAAGAGAGAGACAGAAAGAGGCAGGGAGGGGAGGGGAGGAGAGCTGAGATAGATTTGAGATGAAAATATATGCAGGCCTAGTGATTTCTTTATCACTCCTCATTTGGGGTTCAGTTTTGAGTTTAGCTCACGTACAGACCGCCATGGCCTGCTTCTTCTGTATGCGCTTTCGTGTGCTGATAGCAGTAAGCGACTCTGTCTGCCATTTCCTTTTAATTCAAACCTTGAGAGGAGAGATTGTAATTCTTCTAATTCGCCACCAGAGGGCCGCCTTCAAAAGAAATCAAGTCAACCGTGCCTGCTGAGAAGGGTTTGGGAGGGATACAAATGTCCTTTAAAATCCACAAAAGGCTGTTTCCTTTGTGTTTGCTCTGCTGTGATCCCTGCAGTGTGTTTCATGTTGTTCCAGCATGTCGAGTTTCAGGGTTTTAGAGAGTCAAACACTGTCACTTTGCCTGTTGTCAGCACTTCACACAATCTGGCCTGTACACAGTAAATTCAAGTCTGTCTATGAGTAGCACAAAACTGAAGTGTTTGGGAATTCTGTATATATAATTCTGTATATAAAGGCACAGAAGCAACATGTATTTAAATATTCGTTTAAAATCATTTATTCCCTTATACAGAGACTGGTTGTTTTCCTGCCCAGTTCTGCTTTATGAATGCGAGAGTGCTAGCATTTTTTTTCTGACTCTCTGTAAATCATGATGAAACTAGTAGAAATGCTGCTCACACTCGCATATAAAGAAGGAGAAACTCTCAATATTTTACAGAGAAAGATCTAAAGGCAGACACCAGTGATGGAATAGATGTAATAAATATTCAGCTCATGAAAAGTGAGCACTGTTCTGCTTCAGTCATGTTGCCTAGCTCAAGGCCTGGCACTCCCATGTATCCGTGTCGCTAGCTCTGTTTGTTTAGCTGTAGCTGGCGTGTTCAATAATGAATTTGCCCTGAGAGACTGCTCCAGTATTCTGGTGTTTAATTGTTCCTGAGAAACTTAAATAATTAGCAGACTCATGGGGTCACTTCTTTTTAACAGGAGCTTGCTGTGATTGGATAATCTCTAAGGGATGGACATCCAGCTCGAGCAGAACAGGATTTTTTTTATATTAATCTGGAGGTTAGGCCTATTAATCCACTCTTCACCAGAGACTATTAAACCTGACACATGTCCCCTCGTGTTAGCCCCCAGAATCTAATCCGTGGAGACACTGCTCAGTTCTGCTGTGATTTTGAAAGTCATATCATGAGCTAATGTTGCCTTGGCACACCGTATCCACAACCACATAGTGGATGGACTGATAACACGTAGGCCTACGCAAAAAGTTTGCATGAACCCCTTACATTCCAGGCTAATTATTCAGCAAAGATATTCAGTAAATACTACTGAACTAATATGATAGTTATGAGATTGAGAAATAGAACTCTGAGCTGCTAAAATATGCTTCTGTAATTTAATTTTGTGTCCATGTGTTCATCTACTTTTCAGCCTCATTGAGTAACGTGTCAAGTGATGGTAACCTCAGCTGTGACGGAGGCAGCAGCAATGGCTCATGTACAGTTGCCGAGGAGACCGGGAGTCCTTACAAGACGGTGGAGATGGTCTTCATCGCCTTGGTTACAGGATCCCTCAGCTTTGTCACTGTGGTGGGTAACATCCTGGTCATGCTGTCAATCAAAGTGAACCGACACCTGCAGACAGTCAACAACTATTTCCTGTTTAGCTTGGCATGCGCAGACCTTATCATTGGGGTGTTCTCCATGAATTTATATACGGTATATATAATAAAGGGCTACTGGCCACTGGGCCCTGTGGTATGTGACCTTTGGTTGGCTCTGGACTACGTTGTCAGCAACGCCTCCGTCATGAACCTGCTGATTATCAGCTTCGACCGTTATTTTTGTGTGACCAAACCACTGACATACCCCACACGCCGCACGACCAAGATGGCTGGCCTGATGATCGCCTCAGCCTGGATCCTCTCTTTCATCCTGTGGGCTCCCGCCATCCTGTTCTGGCAGTTCATTGTTGGGGAACGTACTGTGGAGCCAGGAGAGTGTTACATTCAGTTCCTCTCCAACCCAGCAGTCACATTTGGCACGGCAATCGCTGCCTTTTATCTTCCTGTTGTCATCATGACAGTGCTGTATGTTCACATCTCGCTGGCCAGCCGCAGCCGCGTGTCCAAGCAGAAGCCTGAGGCCAAGAAAGAGAAAAAAGGCTTGAAGTCTGCTGGGCTGTTGAAGAGCCACATCCTGAAGCAGAACAACAACAATCAGTCTCCTCCCAAGACCAGCGTGGACACCTGCAGCACGGCTGAAACCATGAAGAACGGAAAGCTGGATGAGTCCATGGTCTCCACTAAAGCTGACTCCAGCATGCAGCCGGAGGAGAAGGAGAGCTCCAATGACTCCAGTACGGCCAGCATTGCACCCAAAGAGCCCAAAGAGAGAGCCAACAGCGAGGCCACGTCTGAGAAAGGCCTGGCCCCGGCTCCGGCCCCTGTGGCCAAACTTAACCCAACCTCCAAATGGTCCAAGATCAAGATTGTTACCAAGCAGACAGGAGACGAGTGCATCACCGCTATAGAGATTGTTCCGCCTGCAAGTGGCAGCGAAGGCCGCTCCATCCCCATAAACCGGCCACGCACTGTGGCACGGAAATTTGCCAGCATCGCCCGCAGCCAGGTGAAAAGGAAAAGGCAGATGGCAGCACGAGAGAAAAAGGTGACCAAGACCATCTTTGCCATCCTCTTGGCCTTCATAATCACATGGACACCGTATAATGTGATGGTCCTGATCAGCACATTCTGCCAATCCTGTGTGCCGGACACAGTTTGGGCCATCGGCTACTGGCTCTGCTATGTCAACAGCACCATAAACCCAGCCTGCTATGCGCTCTGCAATGCCACCTTCAAAAAGACCTTCAAGAACCTTCTCATGTGCCAGTACAAGAACATTGGGACCAGGTGAGCTTCAGCGGATCCAACAAAGGCCCAAAGAAAGCTTGGGCTGTCCCAGATCCTTAGGTGGTTTCCAGCCCAATGATTCTGATGCACTGGAATGTATCATGCAGTACCTTGTGAGGCTTCATACCCCAGTGATGCTCAGTGCATTGTGCAGTGTCATTACCAAAACTGTATGATATCGTAAAAGAAGAAAAGTCCACAATCCTCAGAGTACACTTATGGTAATATGAACATCAGATATTGGATCTGTCTGCAAAGTTGTTCTGCTGCTGATAAACGGACCTGTATGTGATGCTGTTCCGCTTATATGCACTGGCAAGCCAATCGGCAGATCTTATGATTTGCACTAGCTAAGCGACGGAAGCCAATAAAAGCTCATTATCTTCATTGGTGCGGATAATCCAAACAAGCACAATGAAAGAAGGCCAAGTTGTTGTTGTTGTTGTTGCTGTTTTCAAACTGGTATGCAGACAAATAGAACAATTGATATAATATTGCTAATATTATTTTCCTTGTATTCCACATCAACAAACATCTCGGTTCAGCATACAGAGCAATTATTATCCCACCAACAACACAAAGACATTGCCATTGAATTATTAATGTGAATCCCAATGACAATAGCCAAGCTCAGTCACTAGACTAAGTGGGATTTGGCTGATTCTATGCTCCACATTTCTATAAATGTACACACTCTCCAAAGTCAGGATGGAATGTAGAGCATGTGCCCAAATTTTAATGAAGGTCCCATGTTTGATGATCCTGAACCCCATCAGTGTTGTGAGTTTCCCAACCAATCCCATTCATGTTAAGGACAAAAGCTGAGCTGCTATCAGCTATCTCCTGGTAGACAACTGTATGGTATACGATGTTTACATTGAGGGTGAAAAAAATGAGGCAATGTCCTCCTAGCTCTCCTTTTGCTTTCAGTGTTTCTTACCTGATGCAGATGAATCAGTCCCATAATGAACAGGGCACCTCTGTAGAAAGTCATAAAAACTGCAACTAGGTTCAAATCTTTAGTTCTTAAAGTGTAAATATTATATAAACATGCTGAATATATGCTCATGAAAAGTCCACTTTCCTTCTAGCTCTTCATATGTGGATGTTTGTACTTCTCTTGTATTTAATTGGTGAGTTAAACGTGATTTTACAAACTAAGTATGAAACATATTGCTGTCTGTAAGCAAATGTATTTAACAGAAATTTTAATTTGTGATGAAATTAGGAGACTTGGGGGAAATAGAGAAGGCGTTGTATATTTGTTAAAATTCTTTATGGCTCATTGTGAGACACAGTGGGCACATAGTAGTGCCTATGATGTTGGAAAAATGGGAAAGCTTTGTCTTTTCCCCTCATTTAAAACCATTTTTGACTTGGAAATGATCATATTTTTCAGCTCATGGCGCAATGTAAGTTTAATGGTCTCCGAATTTTCATTTCAGCATTGAACCAAAGAATCTGTGGCATGCTCTAGAGCAGTAGACCATTGTAAATACGATTCCGTTAGAATTTATAGTGTTAGTTTTTGTCTGTACTTCATTAAAACCATATTTTTTTTTGAGGATTTCAGTTTAAGCTGATGTGTACATGCATCAGTTTAATTTAAGTTCTCTACCTCATAGACCAATTGGTTCAATATATCCCAGTTTCAATGCTCCCAGTTTCTGGGCACTGAAGATACACAGTAGAACTCAACTCTCATGCAGTGCAGAAAGAAGGTCAAAAAAACAGGTTTCCATTTTTCCAACCTCATGTGGACCTGCATTCTCCTGAGATAGTTATAATTATACAGATTCTGACCTTTGCCATGAAAAGGGGCCATCCCCTGATGTATGATATTGTATGTTTAGCGAATGTTTACTAATGATAAACGATGCCTGGAAAAAAACAATGGGTTCATTAAATTTAGTCTCTGCTTTAGTGGTACATGTTCCAAATATATGAGATTGGGTCTGAGGTGTGACTTTGCTGCAGGCCCACTCTACCTGTGGGGAATGGTACTCATACTTGGTCATTATGGGCTATCAAGAGAACAAGTCACTCTGAAACGGTGTACAGATGATTGTGTGTGTTTCTTTTTTTCTAATGCTCAAAACTTAATAAAGATCTTGTATTTACAGAGCAGCTATGGAAAGCAGGTCTCTGTGATGTGCTACACCTCCACTTACATGGAGACAACATCATCAGACTGAAATTATTAAAGCCCCAGGGAATGGAAATGACTGCTTTCTAACTAGGTTATTGTTAGTCTTGTGGGTATTCAATATTCATGTACAAAGTAGGCCCTATAAATAACTTTTAATGTCTACAAGTACTTCACCAGAATTTTTCAATGTACATTTGACGGTACTACCAATCTGATGACGCTAGTCTTTGCCACATAGTGTAGTCATATACAATAGTTTGGGCACCCCTGGTTTAGTTGATTTGCTCCATGAAAACATGCACACATCCTCCACAAAAGAACACATTTTTGCACATTTTAATGAATAATTCCAATTCATTTGCTGAAATGAATATTAATAAAAAATGCTTTTGTAAAAGTAGTAGTTACTTTGCATATGACTATAGCGTGTATGAAAATGCATTCCTGCTTCATGGTGTTAACCTAGCGAAAGTGAAAGCAAACATAGCTAGTGTAGCCTACTGTGAAAATAAGTCACCACCTGTGGACGTGGGTGATCTGGTGAACTGATTCTCAAAATAAGAATCAGTAAGCTTGTCCAAGCCGAATGATCTTATTTCTTTACACTTGCACTGTTGTGGTGCATTAGTTTTAACATTAGTTCTGTTTAAGAAACCCATGAATGCAGCTGGTTGTTGAGCAGTTTATTATTTGTGTCCTGATGTTTTCATTCACTTTAATTCCATCTTTGCTGGATGTTTAATATAATAGAATATACAAAAGTATCGTATAATACAAACATTTTTAATATTATACACTATATTCCCTGGGACTTTTGAGTATGAATGCACAATAAATGTACAATTGAATGATTACATTTAGGGAAGGAGTTTCTTTTACATTTGATAGGCAGTTGACAGTACTGTTACGTTTCATTTATGTTTTCCTCCTGAAAATCGGCTGAAATGATAAATAGGCCATGCTCATAAATCATTTATCTTTTTTCACAGTTTTTAATCATACGCTTGTGTGTGTGTGTGTGAGTGAGTGAGCGAGAGAGAGAGAGAGAGAGAGAGCGAGAGAGAGAGAGAGAGAGAGATTCTAAAACTGGCTAGCACTTTTACTGCAACAGTAGTTTCATATACAAATATTTTCTACATGAACTTATTATTCTTTAAATACTATGTCTTTAATGTCTGGTTTCTCTGCAAGCTGTTTAACCCCTGCATTTCAATATTTGTCATAGTGTAGCCCAGACTCGGTTTTCAGCGTAATTTGTTAGCGCACATATTAGTGCACATATCCCATTCGACATGCAATTTTAGGAAAAACAAGTTCAGAATTTAATATTTCAGCATTTTATGCATTAAAATGTCTTGATTCTACAGAGCTCTAATGACACTACAAAAACTGGTTCGGCTTACATAAATAACAGTTTTCCAACATCTACTGTGCCGCCTTCAAACACTATAAACCCCAAAAAACAAAAACCATAATGCCTAAAATTAAAGGTATGTCAAAAAAAGCAGTCATTTATTTAAGCATGGTAGTCCACAGCCCTGCTCTTTCCCCACCCTCTTTACTCTGATAGGGTGCACCCAGCCACCCAGTTTTGATTGTTGACAGTCACAAATGACTGTAAATAAATTTCATCCATTAAGTGCCATCAAGTTGATTTTGCCTCCTGCATCAGTGAAACAGTTTTCCATTTCTACTATTATTAAGTACTGTTAAGTTGATTCCAACTCCTGGTGACTATACAGGTAGTTCTTCTACAGGATATCCTGTATTCTGTTTAGTATTTTTCCTGTCCCACTTTTTTAATTGTCCAGCTTTCATATTCATAAACATTTCAATACACTGAATCAAACTGGATTTTTCCAATAGGTATGGAAACCTAACAGCCTTACTTATAATCTGTATGCTAAAAAACATCACTGTTACACAGAAAACAACAAATAAAGTTCACACAAATTACCTTTCAAAATATTTTATTTCAAATGATTTCTCCATGATTCTTACATTTATCCTACAAAAAAGAGCAGTAAGACCTTTTTTCAAAACAGACACTACTCATATACTCCACTATTCAGATAACTTTCTACTGCAACATTTCGCAATCTTATTACAAAAGTGGACTTATACGATACAAATTAAAGTACACAGGCTGGTGTGTGTGTATATGTATGTGTGTGTGTGCACGTGTGTGTATGTGAGTGAGTGAGCGTTTCTTGTGTCAGATCAGAAACGGTGAGGTTTTGACAGAGAGTGGTAGAGTATAATCTCTCTCAGTCTACAGAGAGACAAAGGGGGGTGGGGGCTATGACATCCTCCTCCGAACATCAGCCTTTCACTTTCTCTTCTGGAAGAAATATTTCATACAGTGTGTCAATTTTACCATAGTGCGACGCACTCCTGTGCTCTAGAACACATACTGCAGGATCTGTAGAGTTACAAACAAAGAACAAAGCTGTGTCTGACACATTTCCTGTCTCAAAGTCTGATAACAGAGTGTAAGAGAGAAAGAAATGAAAGGCTGGGGTTTGGAGGGCTGGTGTTTGTCTGACGGTGAAGGGTGGCTCCTCATGCCTTTGTTGGGTTTCTCCTTCTCTCTAATTTCCTTTTCCTTTTCCTTTTTTCCCTGAAGAGAGAACAGAACACACAGGATCAATGTTTCTTTTAGCTCTTCCGTTTGATGATGAAGCTTCAGCACAAACCAAAGCAAACTGCCTACTGGTTAATGGTGGTCTAGTCCACACAATATTTTTACAACAGACACAAGCTCAACCTAATTCTCGTCTAGTGGACAAAGGGCTTTTTCATCATTAATCCCTCAAATGGCCAGGGCTTGCCAGCAGGCCCAAAGTTTTGTTACATACTTCTCTAACCTAAGAATAGCTCAACCAGTGTGCACTGAGGTCCTTGTAGTTAATGAATAATAAGCCTTAGTATTTAATCAGCCTGGGATTTTAAGGGGTTACTTTAATCTTTTTTTGTCCAATAACCAATTATAAAATGTTTGTAGTGATATCTAATGAGTTTTAAAATATAATGGTTAAACACACACTATTTGGCCAGAAGTATGTGCTAATTATTGTGTTCAGGTGTTTGTCACACCCATTGCTAATAGGTATATAAAATCACGCACAAAGCCATGCAACAGACAAAAAATGGGCCTCATTCACCAATATTTCACAAGTTTTTTTCTTGTGGATTTTAAGAAGAAATGTCCTTTTAAGAACTGTTGGTGAATGAGGCCCAAAGGCAGTAGAATGGGTCATAAAGAAGAGCTCAGTGACTTTAAACATGTCATTGTCATAGGATGCTACAAATCAGTTAATGAAATGTCTGCCCTACTAGATCTGCCCCGGATAACTGAAAGTGCAATTATTGTGAAATGGAAGTGTCTAGGAGCAACAACATCTCAGCCATGAAGCAGCAGACTATGCAAACTCACAGAGCGGGATCACAGAGTGCTGAAGCGCGTAGCACGTAAAAATCAGCTACCCTTTCCATGGTTGAGCAGTTGCACACAAGCATAATTTCATTATGCGCAATGCTAAGCGTTGGCTGGAGTGATGTAAAGCATGCTGCTAATGGACTCTGGATCAGTGGAAACATGTTTTCTGGAGTGATAAATCACACTTCACTATCTGGCAATCTGATGGATTAATCTGTTGTTGGCAGATGCCGGGACAATGCATAGTGCCAACAATAAAGTTTGGTGGAGGAGGGATAATGTTCTGAGGCTGATTTTTAAGGTTTAAGCTCAGCTATTTAGTTCCAATGAAAGGCAATATTAATGCTGCAGAATATAAAGACAATTAGACAACTATATGCTTCCAACTTTGAAGTAAATTTGGGGAAGGCCCTTTCCTGTTCCAGCATGACTGTGCCCCTGTCCACAAAGCAAGGTCCATAAAGACGTGGTTTGACAAGTTTGGTGTGGAACTCCAGTGGCCTGCCTAAACCTCCCTGAAGACCTTTGGGATGAACTGGAACATCAATTGTGAGCCAGGCCTTCCCATCCAATATCAGTGCCTGATCTCACAAATGCTCTTCAGACTAGACACAAATTTCCCCAAACACACTACAAAATTATGTGCAAAGCCTTACCAGAAGAGTGGAGGCTGCCATAGCTGCATATTAATGTCCATGATTTTGGATTGGATGTTCAACAAGCTCATATAGGTGTGATGGTGAGGAGCCCACATACTTTTTATGGCGGAAAATAAATCTTCTCGACTGTAGCTGCCCTATTAGTATAGACGAGGCCTTAGCAATGCCTCAGCCTGAAGGCCCTCAAAGACAGTATATGTAGGACCATGAACAACTTGGATTTTATAATTTGTTTATAGACTAATATTTGACAATTTAATAAAATACAAAAATAATAAGTACAAAAAAAAATACAAGAATAACACTGAGCCCCTCTACGGCCAAACGTGCAGAGTTTAGTACATCAAACTCTTGTTTTAAATGGCAAGTTTGAATATGTTTTCTCCCAAAGCTAGAGTAGAGTTTACAGCCACAGTGTTTTGCACTTAGGCCTTGATAAATAAGTTTGAAGGAAGTGTAAGCTACCATTATGTCCCAGCTTGAATTATCATGTTTGAGAGAAGCTGTAAGTGATAAAGTGCACTGTTCCAGTTTTGAATACAGGATTGTTGAAAACAGCTGCATATAATTACTTAGAACACGATATGCTTGCTTAGAGCTGTAATCAGTTGCTTTAGATTTGATTAAAATGTAAACTGGGACATTTTATACTTGCAGAATGGACATATTAAAGAAGCATCTGGAAAGAATAACATAATGCCAACGATCTGATAAATAATTGGGTTTAAATACTGAACTTCCTCCTTCATTCTAGGGAAGCTGTCCTGGATACACTGATACACTG